ATATCCTCTATCACACACAGTGCTTCATACCCTCTATCACACACAGTGCCTGATATCCTCTATCACACACAGTGCTTCATACCCTCTATCACACACAGTGCCTCATACCCTATATTACACACAGTGCTTCATACCCTCTATCACACAGTGCCTGGTGCCCTCTATTACACACAGTGCTTCATACCCTCTACCACACAGTGCCTCATACCCTCTATCACACACAGTGCCTGATACCCTCTATCACACACAGTGCCTCATACCCTCTATCACACACAGTGCCTCATACCCTCTATCACACATAGTGCCTCATACCCTCTATCACACACAGCGCCTGATACCCTCTATCCCACACCGTGCCTGATAACCTCTATCACACACAGTGCCTCATACCCTCTATTGCACACAGTGCCTCATACCCTATATTACACACAGTGCTTCATACCCTCTATCACACACAGTGCCTCATACCCTCTATCACACACAGTGCTTCATACACTCTATCACACACAGTGCCTCATACCCTCTATTGCACACAGTGCCTCATACCCTCTATCACACACAGTGCTTCATACACTCTATCACACACAGTGCCTCATACCCTCTATTGCACACAGTGCCTCATACACTCTATTGCACACAGGGCCTTATACCCTATATTACACACAGTGCTTCATACCCACTATTGCACACAGTGCCTCATACCCTCTATCACACACAGCGCTTCCTACCCTCTATCACACACATTGCCTCATACCCTCTATCACACACAGTGCATCATACACTCTGTTAGGGATACACCGATACCAATACTAGTATACTAGTATCGGTGCCGATACCGAGTATTTAGGTGAGTACTCATACTCGCCCAAATGCTCCGATTCCTTCCCCAATATTTCTGGTCAGAGGAAGATTTCCTTCTGACCGGCAGTGCCGTAGGTGAACATGGAGCCAGCTTCCTGTGTGTATAGGAAGCTGGGCAGCGATTAATGACCCGCCTCCCGGCTTCCTGATTTCACGGAAAGCCGGCTCCTTGCTGGTTGACTGGGAAGCCAGCTTCCCGGCCAATCAGCATCGAGCAGGTCGAACAGCCGGCTCAATGCTGATTGGCTGAGAAGACAGCCTTCCAACCAATCAGCATGCAGTTGGCTTCCCGGCCAATCAAAGCCGGGCGTCAGATCATTACTCGCCGCCCGGCTTCCTGATTGGCCGGGAAGCCGGTTTCCCGGCCAATCACAATCAAGCCAGCCAAACAACATGAAGCTGGCTTACCGGGCAATCAGGAAGCCAGGTGGCATGTCATTACCCGCCGCTCGGCTTCCTCATTGCCCGGGAAGCTGGCTCCATGCCAGCGTAAACACCGGTATCGGTACTTGGTATTGGCGAGTGCAGAAAGCAAAATATCAGTACTCGTACTCGATACTGAAAAATTGGTATCGGTGCATCCCTACTCTCTATCATACACAGTGCCTCATACCCTCAATTACATGCAGTGCCTCATACCCTACTCTATTACACACAGTGCCTCATATCCTCTATTACACAGTGTCTGACCCTCTCTATGGCACACCATGTTTCATGCATCATTTGAACAGTTTCTGTGCTCTTGTATCACGCACAGGGTCTCATTCCCTCTTTATTACACAGTGCTTCATCTCAGCTATTCTCAATGGGGGGGAATTTATCAAAACTGGAGCAGACACAATCTGGAGCAGATTTGCACTGCAACAATCAGATTCTCTGTCTAAGTTTCAAATCTTACTTGGGCAAACTGAACAGAGATGCTGATTGGTTGCCATGGGCAATTGCTCCAGATTCTCTCTGCTCCAGTTTTGATACATTTCCCCCACTCTGTCTCGTGTATCATTTTTCCAGTTTCTCAAGTCTTTTTATCACACACTCACCTCTTTATTACATGTAGTGCTTCATGCCTCTCCATTGCACACATTGCCTCATACCTCTCCATTACACACATTGCCTCATAACTCTCCATTACACATATTGTCCCATAACTCTCCATTGCACACAGTGCCTCTCTCTTCTGTTTTCCATCCTGTGGCAACGTTCCTTAAAGGCTTAGTTCACCTTTGGTGCCATATTCTATGTTACCCTGCTTACCTGAATTGTAGTGGACTTCTCCCTGCAGTCTTATAGTCTGCACAGATGTGTCATCTATTCACAGATCTAATCACAGGCATCTGTGAATGGAAAGACTGCAACTTCTATTTGCCACAGCAGCAGAGGGATGTCATTCAGCCCCATAAAAGAAGGTATGTACCTCCATATGGACCTGATGCTGGTCTGTAAACAATGTAGGGGCCTTTGCTTTGCACCTGTGATGCACTGATCGCGGTTGCAATATTCTGCATGACTGAATGCAAAATATTTATAAATGCACAATATTGCCTTTAACAGTGCAGGATACTGATATACTCAACCTGAATTTAAGATTCAGACAGATATCGATAACAAAATCTAAAGCTAGGGAGAGGATAGTAAGGTACAATGTCCAGGGTACAGACAATCAGAGGTGACCTATCCTCTTCAAAAATTCTAAAGGGGTATGTGGCTATAGGGGCTGGTCTAAAGCTGGCCATACACCTATAGATTTTCTGCAGATTTTCTATGGTCAGATGGAAAAAGTGCAACATGTTCCTCCATCTACGCTAAACTGTGTGGCTGGAGGAATCTACCACTGGGCCAAGCTTCAGTATCTTGCTAGTCGGCCCCGCTGGCTGTCAAAATACCTGAATGCTCTGATGGGATGCAGGCACTGTTCAGGTATTTTGAGAGCATAGAGACCATAGAAAATCTGCAGAAAATCTATAGGTGTATGCATCGGTGTATTTACCTTTGCTGCTGCCCTAGGCAAGGCAGCAACCCCCCCCCCCCGGACTGACCCGACGATTCCCGTAGATGGCATCACCCACCTCTGTATAGTGCGCTCTCGCCCCTAGCGCCAGCACCACGACACAGAGCAGCAGCCGATTACAGGAGGAAGACTTCCGTGTCACGTGATGGCCCGCAAGCAGCAGCGGCGCTGTGTGCTAGATACACACTCTGTGTGCTGCTCTGTGTCGTGGTGCTGGCGCTAGGGGCGAGAGCGCACTATACAGAGGTGGGTGATGCCATCTACGGGAATCGTCGGGTCAGTCCGGGGTGGGGGGGATATGCAGCTTTGCCCTAGGCAAGGCAGCATCGCCGCCCTCAGCGAATCTGCCGCTCCAGGCAAACGCCTTGTTTGGGTCGTGGCAGATACGCCCCTGGGTGTATGTCCAGCTTTACTAGTCAGGGGCGTCCCAAGGGGGGGTGTCACCACGCCTGGGCTGCCATCTGATTGATGCCTGCCGGCGGCCATCTTTGTGATGGACGCCGGGAGAGAGTGGAGGGGACGTTTACCCGGCAGGATGAGGTATGCCGCCGGGTCCCCTTCTCTCTCCTGACACTGTTCGGCTCTCGGTCCATGACTGATTGCCCGACTTTTTAGAGGGAGTGACAGCAAAATGACTGTCAGTCATTTTGCTGTCACCCCTGCAATGGTGTCACCCGGGTGTGGGGCAGCACCCCCTGCACCCCCTTGTGACACCACTGCTACTAGTCTATAGCCAGATCAAGTCCAAAGTTGCTCTTGAACTTATAATCATACTTGGACATTGCCACAGACTTACCCCCTAGTGTGCCTTCTGCCAGCGATGTGAGGTCCGCACTCTTCTTTTACGCTCCGTCGCTGCCTTTTATTCCTGATCTTATTCTGGTTCTAGCATTTTTTATTTCTTTAGTCATTGGTCATCCACTGATAAAGTAGCCCCTGTGCATAAAGGTGCCCACATACACTGCGTGATTTTCGTTCGTAAATCGTCCACGAAAGGTCTTTCGAACAAACATTTGATGGAACATCACCAATTTCCGTTTTTTTCCACGAATCAGTGGGGCTTTCGTTCCTCAAAAATCTCAGCAAGAACACAGCGCATTCGCACATTTTTTCAGTCTGTAAAAAATTGGTTGGTAAGTATAGCTAACAAACTATTTCCAAAATCGACATTTGACTATGCTTGATGGGGTATTCTAGCTAAAATCGAACGAGGATTCGTGGCAAAAACTAAAATTTCCAAACGAAAATGTACTAGTGTATGGCCACCTTAACTCTTTGCATGCGCAGCCATCAATGACATTTTAGGAAATTGTTAGCAGAAACAGAGTTTATTTCAAGAGACATACAATGTTTCTTCTACCGGAAAAAAACCGAAGAAAAAGCCTGCAAGCAATTTTGTACAATTCAAGTTTAGTTCCCCTTTCTGAATGTATTTTCATGTCTCTCTTTTTACAAACTGGGAAATATGCCAGTTGGATATTTGTCTTCCTGTTATCCATTCAGTGCAAAAGATCTTCCCCCTCCCCCACCATTTGGACCTTGAACATGTTTCTGCCTGATTTCTGGTGGCATCTTCAACTGTTATTGCATAAAATATTGTATTCTGATAATTGTTGGTTAATACATGCAATTACAGATAATATGTCCAGTGTTCCTTTCCTAAATTTCACTTGCCTTTATTTATATTTTTCTTCACATCTGTATGCAGGCCAAGGTGTCCAGCAAAAGTGACAGTGATGGTTTGGTGTCCATTTAAAGCAACAGTACTATGTGGCAGGGGTATCACAACAGAAAAAGGGTCTTAAAGTGAGGGATCTCAACCTGAAAAAAGTAATTTCAGTGAGGTGCCCTTCTCATTTCAGGGAGGTGCCCTCTGCCACCCTGAAATGATGGCAGATAGCAAAGATCTCCAGCTCATATTCTCCAGGTTCTCCCTGTGTCTATAGCAGGGTGTGTAGAATAGGCTCACAGTCCTGTGCAGAGGCCCCCCTTCCTTGTCGTGACATTATAGGGAAAAGCTCCTGGTCTTAGCCAATCAGAGCCAGCCCAGCAGGAGGTAGGCGTGTCTGCCCGGCTCCCAGCTGACATTAAAGGGTCGGAGAGACGTGTGAGTCTTGCGCACGGATCCACCATGCAGAACGGAGAGAAGAGGAAAGCCCGGATCATCGAGATCTCCCGGACAGCTTCATTCAGTGCTTGTCACAGGCTGCACTGGTGAGTATAAATGATGAGTACAGAGCTCAGCTTCACCCTCCCATCTGAATACATGAACAGTGTGTGATGACATGGATGTGTTTCAGGCTGTGTGCTGTGACAGTGTTCCCTGCCCGGCTTCCTGGAGATTATTATCTGCCTGCTGTAATGATATTGGTGCAGCAAGTGGCAGCTGTCTATGTAATGACAGCAGATGACGTCATTGGTGGCTGAACATCTACAGCTTTCCAATGTGTAAGTAGATAGCTAAAGGAGCACACCACCCAAATCTGATTTTGGGAGATGCTGGTGAGCTGAGTGTCCCCTTTATGAGTATTCCTGGGGTGATATTCTTGTGTAAGTTCTTTGTTCTTGTCCCCAGCCACAGCTGTCATCAGAGGGTCTTGCTACTGTCATTTGTTTGTGATCTACTGTCATTTGTTTGTGATCTACAGGTCCTCAGCTGCCAGTGAGCTACATCCCTGGTACCCAACCTGGGGGCCACAGGAAACCCCTTGAGGTTTGAAGTGGTGTGAGAGTGTTGATTTGTAAAGAAGCTGTTAGTAATAAGTTCCATGCAACATGTCCCCAGTCTCTGATTGACCCCTATAGCATGACGTCAAGTGATATTATTATTATACAGAATTTATATAGGGGAAACAGTCTGCGCATCATTTTACAAAATGGGGGAGACAGTACAGTTACAATCCAATTTCAGTACAATGAGGTTAGGAGGGCCCTGCTTGTGAGAGCTTACAATCTAGTAGGAGGGGTATATTAAAGTTAAAAAGGTTTTTATGCTATTTTAAATTCTGATTGAATCGCTTACAAAGAATGCTGCTCCTTTAATTGCGTCACAAGGGGGGTGCATCCCTCACCTGGGTGACACCATTGGAGGCGTGACACCAATGGTGTCACCCCCCAGCAGGAGAGAGAGAAGGGGACCCGGCGGCATACCTTAATCCTCCATCTGAATGTACCTTCCTCTCTTTGCTGGTGGCCAAGGTTTTAGTTTCCTGCAGAATCATCTGGTCCCCTGAGCACTGGCCCATTCACACCAATTGCGGTGCGTTCCAGAGCGGCAGCTGCGTCCAATCGCACTGTGGGCAGGGGGCGTGGCTGCGGTGCCTTTGACTTCAATGCACCGCCATGCCCCCTCCCGCCCCAGAACGAAGGGGGGAGTTTAGTGTGCGATTACTGTGCGTTCCAGCAGATACCGCTCTGGAACGCACCGTAATTGGTGTGAACTGGCCCTAAGTGCTTCACCCGCATTTCCATGCAGCCGGGAAGAATTCCAATATTGTTGGGATCCAGCCCGTTGACTGACAACTGGCTCTGGCTCTCAAGATCCAGAGCCAGTTGTGCCCACCCCCTTCCCTGTCTGTCCCCCCAATTAGGGCTGGAAGAACAGAGAGGGGAAGAAGAAATCCCTGCGGGGATCAGTGATTGACAGTCGCTGCTTATGCAGGGAGAAGACTATAAGCTGAGCAGTCAGTGGTCACGATTGCTCAGCGCCACTGGTGGAACTACCAAGGTCGCAGCGGTTGCGTTTGCGACCAGGCTCTGGTGTTCCGCAAGTTCGGCGGGGGGCAGAGAGAAGAGGGCCCGCAGGCAGTTTGACACTTGTGGAAGGTGGACCGCAGTAGCAGGGGGTTTGGCCTGTCAGGGAACTCCAATTCCCGGCAGGCAGCGTGGAGACTGAGTGCAGGAGTTGGAGCTGAGGCACAGAGATCGTCGGGAGCCGTGAGTGAGGACATTCTGGAGGAGAGCTGCATCAGGTCCAGGTAGTTACTGATGGTATATGAGCTTTGTGTCATGTGGATGTGTCATTGTCTTGCAGGGTTAAACATTTTTTCCCAATCCAAAATTAATAAAATGCTTTAAGGGCTAGTTCACACCATTCTCAGTGCGTTCCGGCCCGATTGTGGCCGGAACGCACTGGATCGCATTGCGGCCGGCTCAGTTTGTTGTGGAGCGGGAGGAGGTATGGTGGTGCAAATGAATGGCACCGTAGCCATACCCTCCAGCCGCAATGTGAGGGGGGCCCTTAATGGTTTCTTGCACCGGGGCCCTGAGGTTTCTAGTTACGCCTCTGTTCACGGTCACCTGATCGCTCAGCTCTCAATCTATAGGGCCGCAGTATGACAGCTGCAGTGCCACACACCGGTTCTAAGTATTAAGAAACGTACATCTTACTCTTCCAATACCTTTCCTTTAACTCGCATTGGGAAGTTTCTTTTTGAGAGGGATTTATACTCGCCAGTTTATTTATATCTTTATTGGTAATATAGGAAATTGTTTTCTGTTGATCCAATAGCGTTATTCTTCTATTTATATCAGTAGCTTTGAGTGGGTCAATGAACATCCTTATAAGCTGTTTTCATTTGAAGAATAGGAACAACTTGTTTTTTTGTATTCTGTTCATTGGTCTTCTTTCCTGATATTCTGTGTAAGTTCATTTCCACTTATTTCTGGGTTTATATCCATTCTTGTCTGCAAATGAATTTAAGTAAAACGCCATCACAGGAACCATGCACTGTTTTCAACAGGACCTCCTCACACCAAAAAAACTGATTTGAATAACATTGGAATACAGTTCCTCATGTCGCATTGGCCTGAATGTTTCCAGTTTAAAGAGAGCCTTTAAAAAAACCTCTATAAGGGGAGGCGCAATGAGGAACCTGGCATTGGGGCAGCAGGGAGTGTAAATTCGGCCCTGAGTATATTTTCTTTCAGGGTCAAATGGAATGCATTCATAAGTGAGTGAATGGGGAAAATACCACATATTGGCCACTAGATGGAGTCGAGGTTCATATGAAATAAATAAATGGCAGTTACGCAGAATGAATGGCTCTGCAAATACTTAATAAATCCCCTAAGTGTTTTGGATTTTATGAGTCTGTGCCATGGTTATGTTATGTGCCCAGCTTAGAAGAAAGTGCCCTGATATAACAATAACCCTGCCAGGCAAAAAATGAAATCATTCAGTGACCTACTAATGCTTTCAAGTAAGCTGTGGCTGTGTTAAGTCTCAAGGTTTACTCAATTAAACCCATTCTGAGTGTTCGTTTATTCTGTGTAATCCTCTGCAGAATAAGCACAAACACCTGAATACAGGAGCAATAGGAGGGTAGAAGGAGTGAACTTCCTGGAGCCTGTTCCTCTTCCTCCGCTTTCTCCATCATCAATCACATTCTGGCATCTAAGACAAGTTTGAATCTGATTGGTGGCTGTGGGAAACTTCCTAACTACTGCCATTTTGTTGCACCAGGCTTCGTGTGTGAGAGACAATAAGAAACATTAGGTGTGTGTTCCAGGATCACCTGACTACAGACAAAAGGGAATGGGATAGAGAAATAAAAAGTACTACGCTGGTAGGTTAAAGTGACATTAAACCCTCAGATGTTTTAAAATAAACCAATACTGCAATGTGTGCCTTACTGTAATCCATGGTTGTTTCCCTTCTCTTTGCTGCTCTTCCTTTTAAATCTTCATGTCTTCTCATGCTGGGGGAGAACTTCCCTTTGCAGCTGAGTGCCTCTTCCTGTAGTGCTGGCTCAGGTTGTGAACCTTCACACAGGCACCATGTATTCATTTCAGAGACAAGGCAGTCTGCTGCAAAACAGAAGTTCTGCAGAGCATGAGAACAGATACAGATTTAAAAGGAAGAGCAGCAAAGAGAAAGGAAACTACCATGGACTACCATACAGTAAGGCACACATTCCACTATTGTTTTATGTTAAAAAATCTGAGAGTTTAATGTCACTTTAAGCTTTCTGTATTATTATCAAGGTTTCACTTTAGGTTTTGACTGGATTGCTTTTTCAAGCAACAGATTGGCTCATAGGGTATATAAAGAGGAAACAGCAGTGTTCCTAAGAAAAAACATGAGTCTTTGTGTGGCAGTTTCCTTTATTAAGTCGTGTTGACTGATGTCATTCTGTTTTACTTCTCTTTGCTGTGTTGTAGCAAATCCTTGAGTGATGAGGAAAATAAGAAGATTTTTGGAAAGTGCAACAACCCAAATGGACACGGTCATAATTACAAAGGTCAGAGTGACAACAAAAGAACTTTATGTTGTATGCTGGTAGATTTTATACTTGTATTATGTCCACTTATGTTACAAAAGTGTGTGTAGTGACAGTAGACACTGAACCAATGTTGTCATATACAGGTGAAACTCGAATAATTAGAATATCGTGCAAAAGTAATTGCAGTAAGTGCTGCAAAAGAGGCCCAAACCAAGTACTGAGTACATATGCATGCTTGTACTTTTCAGAGGTCCGATATTGTTCTATGTACAATCCTTGTTTTATTGATTGCATGTAATATTCTACTTTTTTGAGGTTGTGGATTTGGGGTTCTTGGGGTTTTCATGAGCTGTAAGCCATAATCATCACAATTATGACAAATCACGGCTTGAATTATCTTGCTTTGCATGTAATGAGTCTATCTCATATATTAGTTTCACCTTTTAAGTTGCATTAGTGAAATAAATGAACTTTGCACGATATTCTAATTATTCGAGTTTCACCTGTACATAGGCCAGCAAGTTTGTGATCGGGCAGTTATGACAATCTGATCAAACTATTAAGTAGAAATCATTGCCTTATAAATATTAGTCATGTCCCAAAACTGGTACTTCTGAAACATCAGTACAAAGGGCATTTACCACATCAAGATGTTCACATATTTTCCTTCCACCGATTATCTCCAGGTGTAACTACAGCTTTTTACTGTTGTGCACATATGATGTATTCAGCCAGCCTTTCTCAACCAGGGATTGGTGGAACCCTATGGTTCCTCCACATTTGTTATCCTTTCATTTATTCTTTTATCTCAACTTACTCTTCACGCCGATGTACCCTGAGCCATAGATAAGGTAATTATTAGCAGGGATTCCCTAAGGCCCTAAGGTTATTTCAAGGGTTTCTCCATGTTAAAAAGATTGAGAGAGACCGTATTCAGCTGATGTAAACAGAAAGTTCAGCGGATCCTCTTTGGACAATACTCCAAACATGTCACTAAAGAGTATAGAAATGTTAAATAGGACTGTTGGCTTGGAGGACAGAATTACAGTTCATTTTCATAATTAGGCATATTTTTTTACATTTTTGGGGTGGTGATCCAGTAATTGGGTAATATAATAGACAAACTGCTGGGAAAGCATTCAGATCTAGAATAGTTGGGCCCTACCACTGATAAGTGTGTGTTTTTTAAAGGTGAGTTTTTACGTTTTTATATCTGTTTTTGAAATGATAGTTCTATTATAGTATCGGAACACTTATAGACCAGGAATTTTACTTCCTCAGCCAAGATAACTTTACCCCCTCAGTCACTGTAAAGTTCATGAATACCATGGCAAAGCATAGAGCCTAAGTACACATTATGAAAGATGGAGCAGATATATTCTTGTCTGACGATTTAGAAATCTGTCTGTAGCTGAGACCATTGAGATGATTAAACTGATGTAATAGAATTCATTCTGGATGGAAACAGTTGTATACGGAGATTCAATCATTTTCTCAGTAAACGTTGTAGGTGCCCGGGGTTTACATGCGCAAATTCCTGATGACTTTTCTTCTGGATGCATTTAAATATCCTGCTGGAACATATTAAACTGGCATCTGCTAGCAATATAACATAATGGATTGTGAAACTAACCAAACTTTTTTGTGTTCTTCCTAGTGATTGTGACCGTGCGGGGTGAGGTAGGTGTTTATTATATATACCCATATCTGTTACATACTGAAGCTTGTAATATGATGAAAAATAAAGCACTGTTTACTTTTAGAGCCCACTTTTTTATATTTTAATAATAGCTATATGGCCCAAAGGGGCCAAATGAAGTGGGGTGCTAGCGATGCAGGTCTGGGGGGTGGGGTCGATGCCTCTGTCCGGCGCCCCACGCAGCTTACTGATATCACTCCTTGTCAGGAGCCGGGCAGGATGCCAGCTACAGCATCCCGTTTAGCTCCTGGCAACCAGTGATGTCGCCGGGGCACCAGCCAGTGCGTCACAGGTTGCTAAGAGCTCTCTGGCCAGAAATGGGGCGGCAGGTGATGCCACCTCAGGCTGCCTGATTATTAGTTTGTAAGGTTGTGGATTTTTCATGTTTGGGTGAAATGTGCCATGGCTTTATCCCCAGCCAGTTTTGGCAGTTGCCTGAGACTCTGGCGATGAAACGTCTCTCCGCCCATGGCATGTTTGTGATGAGCTGAGCTTGGGATTTCAGCAGATCTAGCAATGGCACCAACCAAACAGTAATGCCCATGTTGATGTGGAGAATCCATTAGACAGTGCACGGTACAGTATTTGCATTATCGTGCCCTCTAGTGGATTTACCATTAGAATATATAGAGCAGTCATGGGTCAAGAAAAGGTCTACTGAGTTTAGTGTGTCTTGGCTGTTCTGCAGCTGGGTTGAGTTCTGCCCATTCCACAACAACTTGAGAGAACATTAAAAGTTAGGCACCACCTGTAAATTTTAAGGAGCATTTGCTACCTGGCTCTTGAAATGTATCCAGCCCTGATATAAGAGACTCCATGCATAAATAAAATGGGAGATATTGCACTGTGTGCTAATATTTGCTGGGTAGCTAAAGACTACTTGATGGTTTATTATTGTCAAAATATAAAGCCAGAGACAGATAGACCAGTGTTCCCTATTAGGATTTCACCACAGTGGCTAAGAGGTTAGCACTTACCAGTGGGATTCTGGTGGACCCACCAAGGGCACGATCTGGTTTTGTATGGTCTCATGTTTCCCTGGACTTCCTCTGGGTGCTCCGGTTTTCTGCCACAATAACATTTCCATGCTGTTTGTTTCACCATGTCCTTTCCAGACTGATTCCTGAATGGGAGGGTCTGGCTTCATTATAACCACTTGACACACTTTCAGCATTCTAATAAGGAATGTTGCAGTGTCTGTATCCCTTTTGAAGTAGTTAACCTCTGGGGGGTATCTCCCCACAAAGGACATTTCTGAGGAAAGGAATGCCTAAAATTTACTTGTACGTTAGTGCAAACTTCTGAGAAAATCATTTGTCACAAGGTGGAGTTGTGCTTTATGAATATGGTTTTAGTCTCTTGGTTAACATACTCTAACATGAAGAAGTCTGACTACTTGTGCAGCCAATGATCATATTCAGCTAAGTGATTGATTCTTTTTTTTTTTTTACATAGATAGACCCTGTCACTGGGATGGTGATGAACCTAACAGACCTAAAGAAGGATATGGAGGTAATTTGTCTGCACTAAGGGCTGTCGGTGGAAATGTATGCATGAAATAGATGTTTTATTATTATTTCTGTTCATACTCTATTGGCGTGTGTTTTTCATCTGAATTCACACCTTTTGCACTATGAGAAAACATCTTTTAAAGTTGAACTTTGGGCAAACAGCTAAACACAGATGTGTACATCTATGGAAGCTGTTTATATTTCTGTACATCCATGTGTGAGATTTACACAGCTCTACCACACAGCACAGCCCTGTCTGCAAGAACAGATATTTCACTGTTCCAGTTGAGTAACAATAGAAGGTCTTGTCCCTCCCCAAGCCTGTGACTAGACAGTGAAAGGAGAAGCAATAGGCTTCTGAGTTTAGTGAAGATTGAATTGGCCTGGGTTCAGTTCACAGGAAACCCAGCCTGAAATTTGGAAATGCTGAAGATAGCAACGTCCATGGGAGCCAAATTTGTTTGTGGTCTTTTTTCAAGGACAAATCACAGGCTCTTGTTCACACCAAGCGCGTTCCAGGAGCAGAGCAGATCTGTTACAGACCGGATCAAAACTGCGTTCAATGTATTCTATTGGTATTTTGGGCTCTAGTTCACACCGTGGGGTTCAGTTCCAGAGCATGTAAAAAAACAGCAGCATGCCCTATTTTACCTGCTCTGGAACGCATGCAAACGCATCAAAAACCCATGCAAACGCCCTGGAACGCACTGAAATCCCATTTTAAACAAGAAATTAATTTAACCAAAAACGGCCCAGAACGCGGCACAACCCACTGCACTGCGTGTGCAGAAAATTATGCTTTTGGTGTGAGCAAGCCCTAAAAAAGTGTTAGGTTAGCTGTGCACTGCTATGGGCAACCTGTACCTGTGCAAAAAAAAAATAAAAACGTTCAGCAGGAGAAGGTCTTGTAATGTAGTTTACAGGGCAACATTAAAAATACATAAATCCTTTACATAAAATGCTTCAGGATTCCTTAAACCTGCATGATAGTTTGTGCACCAGTATCATGTGCTTAAAAAATCCCTTGGACTCCCAGAAAAGGATTTTATGGTGCGTACAAAAAATTCTGTTTTCTATCTCGTCCCTTGAGGGACATAGGAATTCATATACAGTCCAACAGAGGGATAGGCACCAGCATCAAAAGGCTAACAGCCCCACAACAAATCAACAGAACTCATAGAGTTGTCTAAAGGACCTTACACCCAAAGCTGGCATCAAATGAAGCCTGAACATCCTTCTGGTAAAACTCTGAGAACATGTGAACAGAAGACTAGGTAGCAGCCTTGCAAATCTGAGAAACAGCAGCCTAATGCCAAAGAGCCCAAGAGGTCCTTACAGATCTAGTAGTTTGCCTTGTGAGGAAATCCAAACCTCCTGTAGGGGGCAGTATAGGTCAGCGGTATATGACTTCTTGGGGTTGATTTACTAACCTTATAAACACGCCACGAACAAGTATACACCTCTGTAGTGTGTTCCCTCCCAGCATGATCTATTGGTGGAATCTAGACACCTTTGTAGTGTGTACACACCCAGCAGGTGTGTTGTGCAAAGCCCTGCATGAATTGCAAGGTGATGTTGTGTAAATTAGCTCTATGTTGTGTTGCTTGCGTTGATGAATGCAGGAATGTAAATGCATGAGCTAACCATTTTTGTCTAAACTGTGAAGCAGCATTATATATGCATCATGTGCATGATTTCTCCATATATGGCATTAGTGGAAATATGCTTTTAGAGACTTGCATGCCGCTATTAGAGCGGTGTGTAGCCTATGGCGCATGCTACATGACGCGCACGTACGTAAATACATAAAAACGCGCCATAACGGCATGAAAATGTGACACGTTGCTCGTGTTTGGTTGATGAATACGTTTTGCTGTGTAAAAATGCACACGCACCTGGTGCGTGCGTGTGTTTAGGTTAGTAAATCACCCCCCTTGTGTCTCTCACAATGGATGGGAAAGAAGCAATGTTTGCTTTCATCAAGCCACCTAAAGCTAGACTTACTGCATGTGAAGACACCTGTTTTCATGAAGGCATCATTAACATATAATGTATTGAGGTCCCCTGCAATGGTCAGTCTTGTTTTTATATGCAGACATTATGATAGACGTTCTATAAGACCTTGGGTTCTTGTTAAATGTAACATTAATTGTATTCATTCCTTTGTAGGATGCTATTATGGTTCCATTGGATCATAAAAATTTGGATATTGATGTTCCTTTCTTTAAGAATACTGTGAGGTGAGTTACTGTTATTATATAGCTTCTAACTTTGGTCATTCATGATTAAGGGAAACCTGTACTTGGAAATTGCAGTCTCCTTCTGAAACTGCTAGCTCACTGACCTAAAATAAGAATGAAAAATATACTTTATTCTACGATCCTGTGTGCTAGTTACATTCACTGCTTTATAAATATGCTCCCTTGTGTAGTCATAGACCCAGAGCACTATTGCTTCTCAAAGGATAACTTCACCTCTGCAATTCAGGGCTCTTTACTCCAACGTGGTCCCAGATGGCTCCCTTTCATACTGTGCATGCATGCACTGGGCCACATTCACTCCTATTGGTAAGCTGTACTCTAAGAGACTGCTGGAGGCTGCTATAAGTATTGATACCCTAAGGAATGCATGGGGTCGAAGTGTGGAAAAGAGGACACTTTGCTGGATCAGGGTGAAAGGTAAGAATCATCCTGGTTGGCTGTACTCAGGGGAGTGGGGGGTATTTATTTCCTTTACGGCCATTTCACACCACAAACTCTGAGTTCCAGTGCGTTCGGCCACTGGAACGCCGGCCGGCTCCCTGCGTTGCGGGGCAGTGCATTGAGGTCAATGGCCCCGCAGCCAGGCTCCCCGCCCGCAGTGTGATTGCCCGCACCTGGAACACAGGCACATTAGTGCCTGCATTCCAGTCTAGTGCATTATGCAAAAATGGTGCTTGCAGTATTTTTGCAGAACGCACTGGACCGAAACACAGACACTGATGTGGGTGGGAGTCGTGGCTGTGGTGCCATTGACTTCGATGCCACGGCCCTGAACGCAGGGAGCCGGCCGGCTTGCGTTCCAGAGGTTCACTGTAATGAAGATCCCAGAAACATATACTAACCTCTCATGCTGCTATGTTTAGCCTCCAGTAGCAAAAGGGAAGCCCTGTGTCAGAAACGAGTCAGTGAACTCTTAGCACACACAGGCTATTGACTGCCCATGTGAAAGCACTGATTGGTCCAACACTGTCACATGGAGTGAGTTACATGGTCCTGGGTATTGCCTTTGACTCCTGCTGCTAACCAATGTGGCATGGGAGCAAATGAAAGGTAAGTATTTGCTGCTGGGGATAACGGGGTTTTGCCCTGAATGAGCAAAGCACCGGTTTTCTTTAATATGGACCATGAGAGATGGCCAACCAGGCTAAAAAGCCCTTTCGCCCTATCGCTGCTAAGAAAATTTAGATGAAATGAAATAACTTTTGCAATGCATATGTGATTGTACCTGCAATGATATAATCGTATATACATATCTTTTTTTAATTAATATTGGGATAACATTTTATTTTATGCAGCTCGGTGGAGAACGTGGCTGTATTCATTTGGGACGGCCTTCAGAAGAGACTTCCACCAGGACTGCTGCATGAGGTGTGCGTACATGAGACTGACTGTAACACCGCTACTTACAGGGGGGAATGACAACATGTAAGCCCTCACGGGCAGGGCCCTCCTTACCATCTTGTCTTGAATTGTATTGGGATTGAAATGTCTGCCCTATATTGTAAAGCGCTGCACAAACTGTTGGCGCTATATAAATCCTGTATAATAATAATAATCTCAGACTTTCAGAAATAAGCATCTGGACCAAAAACCAGCCTGTATACAATGTACCTGCACAATACCTTGCGTCAAAAAATCCTTACTTACCTTTCAGTCCTTCCCTTACAGAATTAAGACAAAACATTGTCTTAATTCTGCACTGAGTTACCACTGGTGACCTCTTTTTCTGAGAATCCCATCAAAATGCCTGAACACAGATTCTCATTCACATGGGGACTTCTTCTGTGTTCTGGGATTCTTGCTATAAGAACCTATGTATTTTTGTGGCAGGAATCCAAGGTGTAGCTGTTCAGATATAGCCGCTGTGCCCAAGGTAATATCAGCGGCCACATCCATCAGCGACAGTCCGCATGTTATCGTACATGGAACAATTACTTGCAATTTGGGATAGATGATTGTCCTTGGGCAAAGGATAGATGCATCTAGGGGCAATCATCTATCCCAAACCGCATGTAATCACACCATGTACAATAACATGAGGACTGCCACTGACAAATCTGCCAGCTGTCGTTAACTTGAACGGGCATAGCGGGCGCATCTGAAACCTAGCATTACGGCGGCAAGAATTTGTAGGTTCTTGCAGCAGGAATCCCAGAATACAGGATAAGTCTCCATGTGAATGCAGCCTAGGACTAGACTTACCTTGGGAATATGACCGCTTTGGCTGTTTCCACTGTGTGCCAAGGCAGCTCTTCTTAACCAATCTTTAGGTTTTGTTCACACAGCAGCAAAAGAGTGGTAAAAACAAGTGGTTATTCTGTGTTTTTACCGCTCCTCCTCCCCCAACTGCTCGCTTACAAGTTTAAATGGCAGCTGCTCGGGTTGATATACATGGTCATGGTGCTTTGCCGCAAATTTTAGCAGCATGTTGCCATAATGGCACACTATTTCAAACAGGACAATATCCCCTCCTGTGAACTGGCTCTGAAAAGCAATCCATAGCAAATCACTTTTCAGAGGTCTTTGTAAGCCTGCCACCTTTGTGTACCAGCCATTACTATACTGTATTTGTGGTCAGAGTCTGGACACGAACATGCATGACAAACCTACGATGTACTGTGACCTGAAGTGTGCCTTGGCCGCATAAGACAATATGCCTGAAAGGGGTCATACTCAAGAACGTGTATTGTAAAAAGGGTATGGGGTATACCTGAAAACCCCGGCGACAGGTGAGTGAAGAAACAAGGGGGTATTTAACAGCCAGCCTCCTCCCACAAATTCAGGCTAGCCTTCTTACTTATCACATGTACATGACATGAGATAAAATAGACATTTTTGCTGCATATCCATTTAATTTCAGTGTAGATGTATGAATCCAAATCATTTCAAGAACTAAAGATGTGCTCCACATGTGCAACTAACATTACACTATGTATAGTTCTTGTTTTCCCTGATCTGTCAGCGTTAGATCCAGCATGAAACTACTCCAGCACTTTGTCTCTGTGGAAGAGTTTCCTGCAATAAAGACTAATCACTGCTGCTCTCTCCTCTTGTGCAGGATGACTGGTCTTTTACCCACCCCCTCCTGTAGTTTTTTTTTTTTGCAGGCAGCCTCCTGTGGGTGGAGCTTGCTGGGCTCCTCCCACAGTTCTGCTCTCTGCACATGCTATGGGCAGCACAGTGATGATGCCACTGCTACATTTACAAGGTAATAATTGAATGTGCAAAGGCATTTGGTGCACACAAATTAATTTGCCCGATATAAGCAGGTGTTGAATATGACTATCAGCCTCTTTCATGCTAGGGAAAAGCTTGCTGCTATGGGCACTACTGTGTATACTTTAGACACCTTTGTACATAAAGCTTGCTTATTTTAATGTGTTCTTATGATGTTCTTTAGCACTTGATACTGCAGTAACATGACTATAGAGCTAATTTGTTGTCTCTAACTTCACTGTCTGAACTGTCCTATCAGAAAACCTACAGGGTTATTCAGAAAAGGGTGAAGAGTTCGGAGAAGGCAGGAGAAGTGAACAATCTAGGATAACATAGCTGAACTGGAAACATTCTCTAATTCAGCTCATTTTCCAGTTGAGCTATGTTGTCCTAGATTGTTCACTTCTCCTGCCTTCTCCAAACTCATCACCCTTTTGTGAATAACCCTGCAAGGATTAAATCCGGAATGATTTAAAACAAACCCAAATCAGTTATATGTTATTAATATGTGGTTTACATCTTTCACTGTATTATGTACAACGTCGTCTTTTGCTCAGTATTTAGATAGGACGACAAATAAAATATATTTTAACACTAAATAAATGGTCTTATTTGTAACCAGTATATATGTGGTACTCAAAAGGTGACAAATCAAAAGCCTAACTTCAGCCGTTTTTTAGTTTTAAATGGAGTGAAGATGAGTTAGAATTTGTCAGATTTGTATCTCTATATGTGACTCCATTAGGGATGTTCCCTCACGTCCTGTTACTGTGACATCCATACTAGAAAAGAGGGGTGTGGACTTCAGTGAACAGATGTAGAACAGTCTAATAGGGTCACACACAGCACTGCACACCTGTTAGAGGCTCTAACTTAAGGGTGGGCGACTCTGGCCCTCCAGCTGTTGTGGAACTACAAGTCCCATGAGTCATTGCAAGACCGACAGTGGCAAGCATGACTCCCAGAGGCATGTTGGGATTTGTAATTAAAGCACAGCTGCAGGGCCAGAGTTGCCCACGCCAGGTCTAACCCTTCCCCACGCTTTCCGGGGTGAAATAAATGGTTGAGTTATTGATACCTACAGGTCTATTCACAAAAGGGTGAAGGGTTTGGAGAAGGCAGGAGGAGTGAACAGTCTAGGACAACATAGCTGAAGTGGAAAGTGAGCTGAATTGGAGAATTTTTCCAAATCAGCGATGTTGTCCTAGATTTCTCACTTCTCCAAACTCTTCACCCTGTTGTGAGGTTAACAGCCTGTTGACAGGTGTTCAGGAGGAGACAATGCCACCTCAATCAAAACAGGTATTTTGCATTGCAATATTCTGCCAAAACCATGTGCCAAGCAGTAGCAGTGCAGTCGCTTTGACTGCAATGGGCGCATTTGGCAAACGACATTTGCCGAACACAACATGCTGAAAAAAATCTCCGGCTCTGCGATGCAAAGCATGATGGCCGCAGCATGTGTACATACCTGGAGTAGGCACAATGCAAGGTTGGTGGTTGTGGGGGTGGTAAAAAACACAGATTAACTACCTGTTTTTACTACTCCTTTGCCGTCCACTACCGTGATGGACTACAATCTCAGTGCAAATACAAATTAGTAAACTAAACTTACGATTGTAGTCCATTAAAAGGAGCTTGGATTAGCTTTCTGTAGGTAAAAAGCAGCAGCAAGGATGCTTCAGCATCACCAGCAGTTATGTTCCAGGATTACTAACAAATTTAAATGGGGTGGACCAAAGCAGTACAGCATTCAGTGCCTGAATAAAAAAACTAAGTACTCAACAGTGTATCTTTAAAGTGACATTAAAGTCACATCCCCCCAATGCTGCTTCAAGGACTTACCCTAAATGGTGCCTCTTGATCCGATCATCTTGTTTCCAGTTTTCAGGAGTCACTCCAGCACTGGTGCCGGTCTCTGATCCAGCACTGACTGCTGTGTCTTCTGTGTGCGTGCATTGACTTACGCTGTGTCTCTCCTCTTCTCCCTCCGGAAGATCTCTACTGTGCATGCGCCCACCCCATGATCCTTCACGGCTGCTCTAGAATCTTCAGATCTGCGGACGGGAGCGCATGGTGGACACACAAGTAATAACCTGTTTGGGAACTTTTTATTTTTTTAAATGTTTTGCAAGAAGATATATATGCTATAAAAAAAAAAAGGTTTCATTCTACTTTAAGGTTCTATAGTCTCAAATTGCTAGTTGCCTGGCTATCATGCAAATTAGGTCAGAACCCCTGATCTACATAATTGCTGCCTCATTGACTTGGAAGGCATTCGGAGGCGTTTGGCAGAGGGCCAATGAGAGCCATTTAACTAGCATTGTCAGGAGAATTATGCAATGGTAGCCCTTTGTCTGCTTCTTTTTAAATCTGAAATGATAGACGTAGTAATCTAGTCAGAGAAAAGCTAGCTTACACCGAAGGAAACCAAAGACCATTACATTGCTGGCATTGGTATTCAATACACATTTTTTTTTAAACACAACTTTGGGAAGGTGGAATATACCATTTTATCACCTATGGGATTTAGTATCGAGATATCTTGTGCAAGCACCTGTGTTAGTCTACAAATTCGTCTTTAAGGAGCCCCTTGGATCCTAGGCCCAGGCTGTATATGGGTCCTAACTCACTGCCCCCCCCCCCCCCCCACCTGTTCTCAGAAAAAGATTAGGCTCCAATCTTCCATGTCAAATGCTGGAAATTCTATGGCAGTATGACTGAGGACCAAAGGCAGGTGGGACACAATCTTAGGCAGAAGTTACTGCCTGCTGATCCCAGTAGTAACCTTGAGATCCCATCCAGAAGTTGGTAGACAGTAAAGAAACACATTTACACAGACAAGTATTATTTTATTGGACATGTATTGGAAATTAAAGTAAATGTCCTTTTTGTTTTAAACATTAAATATATTTGCACTTCCATTACTTGACGGAGAGGCAAATGTGACTGAACACATACTGTTGAAAAGGAAACTGGTTTTGAGGAAAATACATGGAGTGCCATTTCTTCTGAAACTGCTAGCTGCCCATTAGGCTGATATTGTGTCTCCATCCTTGCTGACCTGGAATAAGCATGCAGCTGGAGAAGTCAGAAATTCTGTTTTACTTGCTCCCCCATCAGTGGCTCAGATTGGATTCAGTGATCAGCCAGCCAACAACTAGCATTTATGGAAGCAGCTCTGGAATGGCAACCTATGTATTTCTCACACTACAGATACAGGTAAACATCTGTGTAATATAGGCTTTTCTATGAGCAAGTTATGCAGGAATATTAAAGTTTTGCCACTGATTGTATAATTTCTGACAAAGAAATTGAAAACATTAAGAAAACATAAATCTTTAAAAAAATTAGCCAAAAAAGTGCTACCTAAAGCTGAACTCCAGGCTGATAGAAAAAGACACAAATTAATGTGGCTTTGTATTCATTTTGGTAAATGTAGAACCAGAATCTGACTTGGCATTGCCACTTCATGTCCCCTGTACACCAGCGCTTAGACTGGGAGAGGGAAGGGTAGTACAAGGAAGCGGTCAAGTAGGCTGCAGCTCTCATGTGTTAACACGGGACAGGCAGATCACAAAAAAGCAGCGTAACAGAGATGGATCCACTTCCTCATGTATCACTTCCCCCACCCTTTAGAGTGTAAGCCCTCAGGGGCAGGGCCCCCCTTACCATCTTGTCTTGAATTGTAATATCTTCATATTGTAAAGCGCTGCTCAAACTGTTGGCGCTATATAAATCCTGTATAATAATCAGTCTGCTACTTCTCCTTGTCCAGTCACAGGCTTGGGGAGGAACTAGACCTATAAGTGTAACTTTACTGCAGCAGAGAAAAAAAAATGAGGTCACCTTCCCTGCCAGAGAGGGCTGTGTTGTGTATAAATCAGAACTTGGACACAGATACAAATCCTTTGGCACATAAAACTGCTCCCTCATATATATTTAACCTGTGTAGCCGTTTGCCTGGAGTTCAGCTAACAAGGTACAACACTCTGATACTGCTGTGAGCGAGGGATGAAAAACTAGAAAGTCACCAGCATAAGTGTCATTCTCTGCCCGTTTTAATAAAGCAGGTTTTGGGGCTGCGTATTTTCCACCAAACATACATGACATTGACCATAGGCAGATATTGATCACAAAGTGGCCGGGCGATCTTTTTTTGGTCACTTGTTTGGGACTGAATTATCCTAATTAATTTCTGGAAATGCCAGGTTTCAGCATCCTGGCTGATAGGCCATATACCCCTCCCTGGCTGTGAGTCACAGGGCAGTGTGAATAAAGAATGTCTTTTTTGTGAAGGGGTATCATCAATCACGTGCTGGCTCGGAACACCAGAAAGTATAGAATAAAGAACAATCCTACAAGACCACCCGAAACGTAGCATAAGAGCTTGCGATTATCTTTCCCAGAACGAGCCATTCCTGTGAACCGTTTGACACTGCCGCCCAGAAGACCAGTCACGCTCATGAAGTCTGAATCCTAAAAAGAGAAGACATATCATTAAGTGAATGAGAGCACCTAAAATCCAGCTAGAACTATTGTTGTTTACTTGTTCTCTTCTTCTG